TAATTTTATTGCAAACATTATTAGATTTAGCTCAAAAATTAGTATACTATTTGGACACGTCATTCGTGACTTATTCGAATTGGCTTCTAGTGTTTTCGTTTGTTTCGAATAATTGTGTATTTTTTTAAGTAATATTTGAGGTAATTACTAAACAACTGTTTCATTTGCAATCTTTTGTTTTGTGTGGAACTCCAACCCACATAGCCAATCGAAGGACATTGTGTGCTGTCAACGAAATTGCTTGTTACTTTAATTTTTATTGAGCCCTAATTTTTGTAATTTTTATTTTTGTTTACGTTTCATCTTCATATTTGAGCTGCCAGAAATGTATTTTGATTATACATACGAGTATAGTTTTTTCTTCAAAGGGTAAAGTAAATATTTCGATTGTAAATACTTATGTGATTTAAGTTCTTAAAAGCTGTTCAGGAAAGATTGATTCTTTTGATATTTCATCACTCATGTTTTCCTTTCTTGTTGTGAAAAAAAAAAGCTACTGCGGACCATTACGACCTACCACTTTTGCCTTATGGAAAAAAAGGACTGAAAAAACCTTTGTTAACAGGATCGGATTTACTTCTACAAAAAATTGTTGATGAACAAAAAATACGTCAAAGGATAAGCTTGGTTTAAAGTTTTTAGAGTCGACCCTAATATTGACCCTTGTGGTGTGTTCCTATCAAGAGATCTTTGAAGAGCTATCACAATTTTTTGATATCGGTTATACGAAGAAAACCATTTCAGAGGTACATACCACGAGTCATGGTTGACGCAATAGAATGTCATGGAGAAATCTAAGAAGAGCCCTAATGCAACACCATCATGATCAATGGTTGCAGAGATGACGCTGATGAAGTTTTCCAGTATTATTAGATTTATTTTTGATGAAGCCATGCTGATTTGGTGATGCCATTGTTAAGTTGATTGTTCATCGCATTTTCGAATACTTTGAATATGCTTGTACATTACGTACATAGATTGATGGATCTGCAGTTTTGGATAAGTCCTAAGTCCTCCTTTTTGTGCAAAAGTATGTCAGAAATTTTTAGTTTAGATGAATAAATTCCTTTTATAAAATATATTTCTTATATGTTCAAGAGGTTTAAGAGTTTTAAAAATAAATTTGATATGCCATTAACCCCCAAAGAGTTTTTTATTTATTTTTTTAATTAGGGATAATATCACTATCAGTCATGGGATTCAAGAACACTGAGTTATTATTATTGGCTATAATGCAGTTTAAGAATTTCCAATTAATATTATCAGACAATGAGATGTCAAAGCCGATATAAACATTTAGTTAAGGTGAAATTATGTACGTGCATTTTTGGTTAGTGTATTCGATTCCGTATTGTCAAAACTGAAGTTAATTAAGTCTATTATTGGTGTAATTTTCTTAAGAATCAAAATATAATAGAGGTAGTAGACGAACAGCATGACTTTGTACTCGTATCTAGTAAGTAATCCGTTATTTGAACCTTATTATGTTGTTGGGCTACAATGTTTGATAACGTAGTGCCAATGAATGTTATTTATTTCAATTTTTCGAAAGCTTTCGATTTAGTTCCAAATAAAAGATTTTTGCTAAAATTACAATGATATAGAATATTGGAAACTATTTTAATCTGGAGTGACTGTCTGTAATGCTATAAATAAGTAGCTGTCGACACGCACTACATGATGTTCCACAAGGATACCTTTTAGGGCCTTTATTACACATTACATATTTTGCTGACCTGGAAAAGCATAATATATTATCATCATATCTTCCAGCTGGGATGTCTTTAAATTACGTCTCCAGGAGATCATTGACAGCTGTTCATCTCGAGTCACCGTTAAGAAATCTTCTACCAAACCATGGATTGACGGCAAGATACTTAAGCTGATTAATAAAAAACGGTCGTTGTGGCGAACGTACAAACGTACAAGTAGTAAATTTGATTATGCTACTCATAGAGCTTTCTCTAATCGCCTTTCCACGATTATTATTAAGACAGCTAAGGAAAACTACGAGAAACAATTGGCTGCCGATGCAAATCCCAAACGGTTCTACATTCTACAAATATGTCCGCTCAGCCATAAAAGGGTCCTTCGTTCAAATGCCTTTGATTAAAGATGGAAACGGCCAAATTGCTAGTAGTCAGCGTGCTGCTGCTGACATTTTCGCTTCAAGTTTTTCGAAGATATTTGTCAAGGAACCTCACACAACAATCAATGCCCGTCATAAATGGTCCAGCAAAATCAGAAAGTCTTGATTTTGTCCACTTCACTAAAGACTCGGTACTTAACAAACTGCGATCACTTAAGGAGGGGAAATCTCCGGGCCCCGACGGTTTTTCTGTCAGTGTTCTAAAGAAGTGTGCGAATTCGTTAGCAGACCCACTTTCCGTACTTTTTAACCAGTCCATCGATACGGGTATTCTACCATTAGACTGGAAAACTGCTTTCATCACTCCAGTTTACAAAAAAGGGGACAAACTCGATGCAGACAATTACCGCCCCATTAGTCTAACGTCTCTTGTCGTGAAGGTCATGGAGTCCATTATTTACGATAATATGATTGCGTTCCTTATGAAACATAATGTGATTCCGCCAGCACAGCATGGTTTTCTGCCGGGAAAGTCTATAAACACCAACCTTCTGACTTCTCTCGCTGACTGGACTCGAGCGCTGGATACAGTGGTGGTGACACAGTGGACGTTGTATATTTCGATTTTTCCAAGGCTTTTGACCGTGTGCCTAAGCGTCGTCTTCTGTTCAAACTAGATCACTATGGAATAAGGGGCAACCTTCTTCGACTCCTTTCTCACTGATCGTTCATTTAGGGTCAGAATTGGTAATTCTCTTAGTGTCCCGGTTAAGGTACTGAGCGGAGTCCCTCAAGGCTCCGTACTCGGGCCCTTGTTGTTTATAGTTTATTCGTCAGATATCACCAACGGTTTGAGGTCTAAATGTGCTATGTACGCCGACGATCTAAAACTTTACAACTCTAGCTCGAACTGTATGATTTTAAGCAATGATATCACCTCAATCCACACCTGGTCCCGTGACTGGTTAATTCCATTAAATATGTCTAAGTGTAGAGTACTCCACCTCGGAGGACAAAACCCTCGGAATTGTTACTACCTTAATGGCGTCGAGCTTTCTAAAACGAACACCTGCTCCGATCTAGGTGTTACCATTACATCCGATCTTTCGTGGTCAGAACACGTTGCTTGCATCACCAGGAAGGCTAACAAAACAGTGTATTTAATCACTAAAGCTTTTGGGAAAGCGAACGCATTTCTAATAATAATAATAATAATGTTGTGACTTTTATGCGGAGTAGGTACATCAAAATCTATAAATCATCCTGGAATCATAATATAATTGCAAATAATATTAACACTCTGACCGTATCCAGAAAAACATGGCTATTTTTCCTAATAATGATCTAATGATTGTATAGAAAGTACGCCAGTAATCAAAGTTGGTTCGCTCACCCAGTTTGGCATCCGTTCTTGGTTAGAGATATAGATCTTTTGGAGGGAGTACAGAGACGCATGACTCGATTACCGTTTGGTATTCAACGTCCTCCATGTAAGAAAAGATTGCTTTCTTTGAATTTGCCCACGTTATCCCAGAGACGAATAAGAATAAACGCGATTCTAACGTTTATTAGTTGCTCTAAATGTCTCATACATAAAGAACAGGTTTATGTTGAATCTTGAAAGGTGAACTAAGAGCTTTAGTAGAAACAATGTAAGGAAGTTTTTTCCACTAAAACTGGACAGTTTTTCTTACTAATCGTATCTGTGACATCTCGAATTCCTTCCTTATATACATAGTCCAGTCCACAACTTCAAAGTTTTGCACGAATTTGTAATTATTTTATTGTTATCTTTTTTTTTAAATACAGTTGAACATATTAGCTGAATTATATTATTGTAAAGAGAATGCTGTTATATTAAAAAATTAATATTTACAGGTGTCCCAAATAAAATTCCATGCCCTATATATATCCTGAAAATTGATGGAAATATTTAAGTTCTGCTACTCTAATTTAATACAATGTCGGTTTGCGTCACGACGTTGAAGTCATACATGCGTCGTATTTGCAATGTATTAATTTAATATTCCCCCTAAACTAAAAATTCTATCGTTTAAAAAATTTCGATATCTCTATCCGTTCTCAAGTTATTAGTTAATTTAGGACAGTCTGCATATTAAAGTAAACCAAGATTTTTAAATCATTTTCATATGATTTGCGACAAACTATATTTGTGTCAGTAGTCCCGGAAATAGATAAATGTGAATACCAAACTTAATACTCCAGTATGCTAATTAGAGTTCAAATAAAAATTTACATAAAACTCATATTATGCACTGTTTGGCACCATATTTTCGAATGGCTTCCTATGTTTTAATGAAACGTTCCACATTTAATAATCATAATCAATACCAATTTTGCGTGCAGTTTTGTGTACAATACACTTTTATTTGTAATGTGTGGCATGTTAAGAACTTAATTACCTACCTTCAGTGACTGTTGATATATTGCTCTTTGTTTTTTAATTACTTAAATGGACGAGCGTCATATTGTTAAAAATGTTGCTTCAGCGAAATGTCGCTAGATGTTTTTCAATTGGTGTAGAAAACTTCAAACGACGTTGCACAGATAATTTCACCCCAATTACCCGTAAGAAAATTATGATGAACGTAGAGTAAAATTAAATTCTGTGAAATGCAAGAGAGGATTTCTGGGATTACTATTCTCTAATATTCAATTACTATACGGAGCAGTACTCCTGGCGCAATCAGGAAATTTACATCTTTCATTGTGCAGACTTATAGAATTGATAATGAGGGAAAATCAAACAAAGTAATGAGTTTGCGGCAGATATTCCGATATTCAAATTGAAATGGAATATATAATGCTCTCAAAACGTTCGTTTCATTTGTGTTTTTTATACAAAAATATGCCAGGTATCTAACTTGTAATTATACGGTCAAGAACTCACGTGGTGCAGTCTTCCCCGAAGGAAATTACAGCTTTGCTCAGCAGGAATGTCAGCAGGACTGCAGGAAACTCCATTATGTAGCACAAGTTCACAGCATTATACTCAGCAATCTGCAACACAAGAGACATTACTGTAATAATTACAAAAGAAGAAAAATGGAAATAATAAACATTAAGCGAAAATTGATTTTTATAGGAATTCTCGTGCGCCACTTTATTAAGAAAGAAGGTGTGAATATAATAAGATTACTACAGGAAATTGTCGAATAACTTTATAGAGTGCGCCCGCTTAAACTGTTTGTATGCAAAAGTTACCCCTTCACGGAAGAGAGGCACTTTATTTTATATCCAACCTTTGACCATCGATAAGTATCTAGGGAGCCATATATTTATTCAACCCTGCTCTGACTATGAGTGGTAATCATGTGGGGCGTCCATAAAGGGTGTGTTTCGTATCGCTTCTACCACACCCTCCAAGTGGTTATTTCGGGGGAACGTGACATTTCACATCGAGGTGCAAACTGCATCTGACACGAAATTGCACAGTCTGCATTATGGGTAAATTCGATTTTTAGAGCGTACACAAGTGTTAGTAATGCTGTTAGTCGTGGCTAGTTTACAAACACGTTGGGTTGTTAATTAAGTAAAACGCAAGAAATAAATTAGATTTTAATTTTAGACTTTAATTTGAACTACTTATGTGTGAATGGAGTGATCTGTAACTATAGTTCAAGCCATTTCATTAGGCTGATCAAATCATTAGTTGTAATTATTATTAGCATCACTGTGTGTTATCTGTTACGATAGTTAAGACATTGTTTTCGCTTTAGGTTAGTATTTTGTAGATAATGTCGTGGTTGGCTAAACGCGTCGACAATTTTTGTAGTTTTGTATTTGCGGTGTATAGGGAAAATAAACGTATAGTATAAGGTTGTAATAGCTAAATGCTTAATAATCAACCAAATTTAAGGTGAAAATAGTGCAAATGAAATTTTATCCATACTACAATTAAATTCATTCCTTACGAAAATAGAAGATTTCATTCCTTACGAAAATAGAAGATTTGCGTTCATTATTATTAGATTATCAGCCTGAAAAAAGTTGCAATAAAGAGAAGATGATTTCTATTCTTGATCTTGGAGTTTCGGGCAGATTAAATTATTTTCAAAACACGATATATGTTCAATTCAAGTCTGGAAAAATTTTAAGACAATACAGTTTATTGAAGGTTTAACTCCTTTCTTTTCGTATTATAGAACATGTATACGACGCGCGCTGGAATAGGATGTCTAGTTCGAGCTACGAGCTTGAACTCAGTGTCGGTGTCGGTGTCGAGGATACCGCAACAGGTCTGAACTAAGTCTGAACATTGGCATGTAACGCCGCGCTATAGAAAGAGAAAGAGAAATATACTATAAAATAACATGTACATGAAACGGCTCAGAGGGTGGTGCTAATTCCATCTGTTAGGACCCCCAGGATGCTCCAAGAGCTAAATTAAGTAGATACAATTGATGCCGTTTTCACACGCTTTATTACTCATTTAAGAAATGATATTTATATCACCCATTTTAGTCACCATAGGCCACTAACAACTATATTAAATGATAGGGATAAAGATACCGAATGCGATAACGCTATGATTGAACAGTAATTTGTATTTTAAATCGAATAAGTTATAAATTCTGCTCTTAGCATTTGTAAATATTTACTTGTTACTTTAGTTGTAAATTACACATTGTACTTTAATTTTTTGTATACAATATTATTATAATAATTAGTTATCATATTTCTATATGATAAATAAATAAAAAAAGTATATTTTATAATAAACAAGAATTGACAATACATGGATATTTACTGTAATTTTCCCAATCATCATTAATCATCATTTTGTCAAAAAATACAAATGCAACATATTTTTGGTTTTTATTATTTTTTAAGAGAAAATTAATGACTTCGCCGCGTATACGTCCTTAATTTATATAAATTGACAACGCAGAGTTAAAACTCCAACCGTGCGTCCCTGGGTCGACGCACTCTTTTTTTTATTACCAATGTTCTTATAAAGGGATCTCAAACATCTAAATAGTTCACACAACTTGATGTTTTAGCCAATATCAGACAGTTTTATATTTCTGACAAAAATTTGCAGTATTGTGTACAATATTATGTTACTTAAAAATTGTAAGAAGGGAATAATTAATTGTTTAGTTCATAAAAATGTTAAAATGTATTTGTTTCTAGAGTATCTAGTGAAAATAATTAAAAATTGAGAAACTCATAAAGTGCGTTTTTGTATGTCCAATATATTTCTTATATTGCACTGCATCGGTGTGAGTAAATAAATTTTCAGTAGCTTAATGTAGCTGCAGTTTTCAAGATAGCGTACAATAGACAGTTATGTTTAAAATGAGCATCTGCGATACGATAAAATAACTGAACTAGAATTTCCACTTTATTAGCGATGATGTAACCATTTCAACTAAGAGAAGCGATTTTGCCAGTGAAGGAGAAAATATTTCAGATTCTAAATAAAATAGTAACTGAAATCACGAGCATATTAAAGTTTATAGCTTAAATAACTCGATATTACAGAAGAATTTACTTTATTTAATTACAAAAATTATTCAGTACTTTGTGGAAATTTTAAACAATCTCACCTGTTTGATAGTTTATAATAACTTGATGATTGTTGCAAAATTAAAAGTCTCCTCCGAAAAGTAATAGGTGATTAACTGAAAAAACATTCTAAACAAAAGATTTTACATACATATGTATACTCTCGCACCATAAAATCTTTTATTTGTGAAATACTTCTTTTAGAGTAAAAGTATCAAGTTGCACTAATTCCGTAGGTGGTGTGTTTCGTATTAAATATCACAAAGTAAATACAGTAGTACATAAAAAGTAACGCGGTTTTTAAAAGTGATGTCAAATGTACGATTTATAAAAATAATTGAATCGTTCATAGAGCTTTCAAAAAACAACAAGTCGATTAAAATATTATTTGTTTTTGATAAAAAATAAAATGTGAGGGAACCTAAAAAGATTTGATTATTAATTGTATTTACCAAATATTTCTTCTTTATATTAATGTTCGTAGTAGTACGCTGTGAGTTTCGTCCTTAACGGGAGAACTGAATTAATAATAACGCCACACCGCGGTGGACCAAAAAATAAAGCGTCAGAAATTAACAAAATAAGTTTAGAATAGACCCGACAGCAGAAAGTTCTGAATGGTAAAATACCTCCCAGTTTGCCTATTCTCTGACCGTCTGCAAAACCTCCATTTAACTCATCCATCACAATACGGTCACGCGAAAACAATTTTCATAATGTATTGTTCTCTATGTCATGTTTTTACATTTACGTTAACATTTTTAAACATGACAAGGCTCCGTTATACGTTTTGCGTAGAATAAGTCATGTTCCCCTTTGTCATGTAAATTAATTAATAACGAAGAGGAACGAGCCTGAAAAATTTTATTAAAACTGTTACAGTCTCCGAAACGGAAAATTGGATTTTGTGGTTGCCTTTTAAAATACTGAAAATTAAAGACTTTTTTCCTGATATTGATTCCTGGCATATCCGACATAAAGAGTCTGCCGATGTTTTCCAGCACTGACGTAAATGGGCTTACGTAGCATTTCAGCTTTAAGTTGTTTTGATGGACGCCTCCAACAGTTTTATAGAAGCTGAAGTGCATTACACAGAAAGAGAGTTTCTACTAGAACACTCATTCATTTACTTATTAATTGAAACTTAAACAAGTTAGCTACCTAAAGAATTTAACTAAAAAGAAGGTGCAAAACATTAAACTTTGCAGACTCAGGGAGAGTGTATCGTGGTAAAAATGTTCAGTAGATTTTCATAGTATGTGTCGAAGTTTGTTTAAATGAATAAAGACCAGCGAACAGTAAGATAAATGTATTGCTAGTGACAAGTGTTTTGATAAATAAGAATGATAAGAATAGAATAGTATATGACCGTGCGGTCGAGAGAGATGACTGTTAGTTACGAATTGAGAATTGAGAATTGAATGTGTATGAATGAGTTAAGAATTAAGAATGAATGCTACCCTGTGTTCCAAGGTGGGGGTGGCTCTGGCTCCCACCCTTACGGGTGGGGAGGGGTGAAACAGGTCCCCGCCAGAGGCTCTAACATAACCCCCCGCCTTGAAACAATTACATTGTTTTAAGACCAAAAATAAACTATATGGAATATTAGAGTGATAAATACAAATGAAATTACATGAATGGGATGGATATTGTTACAGAAAGCAATGAACATGAAGAAATGCATTAAACTTTAAAAAAAGATATCTAAAACAAATTACATGTGTACAATATCAGTGAATATACACCTAAAAGTAAATTTGCAACAATTATAATGTACCAAATCAATGAATAATACGATGAGTGAATAATATGGCGAATGAATATAACAATAAGACAAATATGAATTAATGTACATAGTACATTAAACCAACAAGGAGATGCATATAACAAATTGACAAGATGTATGCAATATGGTTAAATAGAATTATAATGGATGCGATTGCGAAATTATCTTTTTCACTTCACCGACACTACACACACTACCACTTCCTTTGCAAAATGATGTTGGAGGGCCGCGTCCTAACCGCCACTGTAGACGCGGAAATTTCTCCTCCTTCACGAGGACCCATCTTGCCATTCCTGGAACGTTGGAAGATGGCCTTTGCCACCCTAACCTGCCTTTCAGTGTGGTCAAATATTCGAGGTACCACGACTTCCAGAAGTGTTGATGGTAAGCGTGGATGAGGTGCCAAGGGATGGCCTGTTGATGGGAACGACGACGTGGTCTTTTCCTGAGGGACCAGTTGATGGCTGGCCGAAAGAGGCATTGGCCAGGTATAAATGCGACCAAATTATTGCGGTCGCTGGACAGAGGCTTCGAAAGGCGCGAATTCAGGACGGCTTTAACTCTGACAATGAGCGCATACACGCCCTCGCCCTCAAGATGGTTTTTATCAGTAATTTCGTTATACTTCCGGCTATTCATATTTAAACTCTTTGAACTAAGATTTAAACGGCCAACAACTAGGCAGAGTTTAGTGTCAGAAATG